AAGGTTGATGGTTCAAGCTCACCAGTTGCTCCTTGGAAACCCTATAGAGGGTCGCTATGGGTCAGAACCAACTCAATGGCACTTAACAACAACAACAGGCATCCTGAGCAAAGGCACTGCTGTGTTCGTTTAGCACCTTCAGAGATGCCATCCCGGGATGGGCAGTGCAGTGCTGGGGCACAGCGGGGTCCTTGGTGAGCTCAGAACGGCCCACGAAGGGGCACCCATCTAAAGTAGATGCACAGAACAAGGAATTAAAACTACAAAAAAGCAGGAATGGGTGCATTGAGGAGCACGGAGAACCTATCCCAGGGACCTCAGTGAGACAAGGAGGTTTCAAACCTACAGAGTTGAAACGACCCCCAGACATATTTTTAAAGTGTTTTTTGTTTTTTGTTTTTTTCATTACCTGCCCACACTTAACACTCAAATGATCTCATACGAATCTGGGACTCTTGGAAAATTGAGGAATCTGGCTACATGGGGTCCCACCTGTGCAGGCAGAGCGTGGGGTTACCATTCCAGGCAGTGCAGCTATGAGACACGACAGGGGGACCTCACCTGCAGGGCCAGGCCCAGCACTGTGACTCGGCTTCGGTGTTTGGTGTCGTAAAGTGCTCCCTGTGCCAGCTATGTTTTCTGGAACCTTGTGAAAATCAGGAAGGGTTCTCCTTGGGCTGGAACGGCTGTGGTTCTTCATAAAAGCAAAGCAGGATACCAACGGCGGCATGTAGGAGACGGCTTCAGAAGTTCATGGAAAAAGCCCATTCTCTTTTCATTGTATTTTATCACAAACGTTTTGAAGCCCCCTCGTATTACACGATTCTCTTTATGTGAAATGTTCAGAATGGGCAATTGGGCAATGCCATAGAAACCGAGACCAGATACTGGTTAGCGGGGTGGGGGAAGGGGAACTTCCTAAGGGGCATGGGGTTTCCTTTTGGGGTGAGAAAAACATTCTAGGAATGACTGATGGTTGTGGGTTACTCACGTGGGACTATACTAACTGAACTGGACACTTACCTTTAAACGGTAGAGTTTATGTTAAGTGGATTTTACCACAGCTTTTTTTTTTTTTTTTTTTTTTTTAATGTTTTATTGTGTATTGTGTGATAGTCTACATGGGGGAACATTAGTTTTACATTCATTCCATCATACATCGTCGCATTGCCATAGTTACCATCCCGTCCATGCATCATCACCCAACCAAAAGGGTACACCCTGCAATCCTGCCCGCCCTCCCCTCACAGTCCTCAGCGCACAGCCCCTCTCCCTCTCCGGATCCCTAGACCCCAGGCACTCCATCTCTTCACGTCGTCCTCTCTCTTCACGTCATCCTCTCTGTCTCAGTCTCCGGCCTCACTGCTCCTCTGGGTGGGGTCCCGCTCTCCACTCTTCTCCATTAATGGTCCCAGGGCCCTCCGCTCTTAGACTGAAAGGTTAATCACTCCCCTCCTTGCTATAAAATGTCCACCTTTACATTTCCAGTCATCATAATCAGTCCTGGTGACAATTATTCACCCTTGCATCCCAAGGGACCCATCTGCATTTCTTTTCATCTGCCCTTCCTAGACACATCCGATACTACTCACTGGACACTCTACCATCCTCCCTGCCCTGTGGATCTAGGTTCCCTCTTGAAAGCTTTTAGGCCGTTCCTTTTTTGCCTTTGTATCCCTTCTCCCATTTTGGTTAGTCAGTGTTCAAGATGGCCATCCCTGTCTACTCTTTGTGTGGAGGGGGTGGGAATAGTTCTTGGAGGAGGGATTTATTTCCTCTTTTGGACTGCTGCATTTATAGGTGGATGTCCAGTTTATCAAATTGTGTCAGATGACGCTTTTTTTCCTTTTCTGTCTTCTTCGGGTTGAGCTCTGTTTGTCCCATCATTGGAGCCATGACAAGTGGATAGATATCTGCAGGTGTGGGTGTTCCTGCGTCTGTCCGCCCTCTTCTTATCAGTTGGTTGCTTCAGTCTCCACTCTAGTCCTCTGTGGATGTGTCACTTACTCTGAGCCCATGAGTCCCCAGGTCTTGCCTCACTGCTGGCTGACCAGGTCTCCACCCGGGCTCACCATAGTCTGCTGAACGATGCAGGGCTTAGCTCGCTGCTTCTTTGATGTTCTTCCGTTACTTCTCTTTATGAGTGACGTGCGTGGTCGCCTATCAGAACATGTTTTCCCCTTGCGTCTTAGTCTTGGAGGAGGATTTGCGCTGAGAGGACCCAACCACTTGCCTTGGTGTCTCCTGGGCAACAGCTTGCTTGTTCTTGTGGTAACAGTCGGACTGCCCTTAGTGTTCTGTATTTTTCCTGTAGGTCTTTCTTTCAAGAAGTGTCTTCTGATTTTCTGGCTGCTCCAGGCTGCTCTGCTTGTCCTTTCAAGAGGAAAGTTTCCCTTCTCTGATGGTCTGGATGTGGTTCAGGCTTTCTTCTATAAGTCTTATGTAATGCAAAGACTCCTCATGAGATCTCCTTCACTAGATACATTGTAGCCCCAGTTTAGGTATTCCACTTGGTTATAGGCAGAAGACGGACTTACAAGCTTTCTATGGTGATATTTCTGGCTATTCCTTTTCCTCTCCCTCCAGTGACTGTTTTATATTATAATGCTTGGAAACCCAAGGTTCAAAAGTCAGCCAAGTATCTCCACATTATTCCCCCCTTTTCCCCATTCCAACCCTGTCCCAGTCTCTGGATCCCAGAGCCCTGTTGTTCCAAGGCTGTGCCTACATCCGTTTTAACCTCTGTCCCATTTAGCTCATTCATACCTGCCTAATTATTCTCTCATCTGCCTTGTTCTTCCGTTCCCCTCTCCCTACTTGTATATTGTCCTCCTCCCCAATACCTAAATTATCCGGTGTCTATTCCCTGCCCTGTGCTCCGCCTTTCCCTCCCACCCTTATTCCTACCCCTACGTCCTAGCAACCTGCTAAGAATCCACTTCAGTGGATTAGTATGGGTTCTTTTTCTTAGTCTTTTACATTAGTGGTCCTATAAAGTATTTTGCCTTTTGTGATTGACTAATTTCACTCAACATAATGTCCTTAAGGTTCATCTGTGTTAGGAAGTGGCATGCAGCTTCCTTGTTATTTTTCAAGCCAGCATAGTACTCCATTGTGTGTATGTACCACAGCTTGTTTATCCATTCTTCAGTCGATGGGCACAGCTTTTTTAAAAGGGGGGAGGGTTTCCAAAATTTCAGCAGGAAAGTTCCTTTTCTGTCTCTGTTCTGTCCAAAATTCTATGTAATCGGTAGTTACAGGCTCATCGGCTGGCATAGATTAGAAAATCCTGATGCTGAAATCCGATGGGAGTTTAATGTTCTGAAAGGAGCTCTGGTAGCGTAGTGGTTACGAATCGGGCTGTGAACCTTAAGGTCAGTGGTTCGAAACTACCAGCTGCTCCGCGGGAGAAAGATGAGGCTTTCTACTCCCGTAAAGATTTACACCCTCGGAAACCCTGTACAGGGTCGCTATGGGTCGGACCCGACTCGATGGCACTTAACAACAACAACAACATTGTCCCTGGAAAGCACAAATGATCAACTGTACAAGTATTAACTGAAAAGTTGTTTCCTCAGAACCAGAGGCTCCTCAGAAGACTTGTCAGTTTACTTCCCAAACCTTGAAAACCATAGATGGTTGTTGTTAAGTGCTGTTGAGTCCGTTCCGACTCACGGCAACCCTGTGTAGGGTTAGCAGTCCAGTGCTTAGCCTGCTGCTCCACACAGAGCAGGTCTGTGCTGCACACATATGGTCACCGTGATGGCATCTGCGTTGGCTTGGTTTCCGCTTCCTTTCCTTTTTTTTCGCACTCACACTGGTCCAGGCTGCCAGAGCAGCTCAGAAACTCAGCCTCCTTCCGTCTTGTGGCTCCTCCTCTCCCTTAGGTAGTTGTGCTTATCTGCATGGTCGAAGCTCACTCATCCTTTTACCCACATTCCTACAAGAAAGAGTAAGTATGGATTGAATTTTATTTTAAGAAAACTTGAGGTAGAGAAGTTCCATCACCTCTGTTCATATGCTAACAGTCAACATTTAGTCACATGTACACATGCCGTGGCAAGGAAAGCTGGTTAATGTGGTCCCTAACTAGGTGACCACGTGCCCATCAAAACTCTGTTTTAGGACAGGGGCCCTTTTACGAAAAGAAAGAAGTGGAGAATGGATCATAGAAGACGGGGATATTTGAATCATGTGTAGCTATAAATGTGTGAATATATAGTCTAGTGTGTGATACAGAGATTGATTAACTTGCTTAATATCCATAGCTTGGTGACTTCAGTCTTTTAATTCACTGAAAGCAGGAGTGACTGAGTGTTATTCAGTGTGACCTCATGTCTTCTGGTAATATGTGATAGTGAGTGAAAAAGGCCCCACAAATGAAAGCGTGAGTAATTGGCCCTGGTGGAGGAAGGTCTGAGGATGAGATTGGGAAGGGGTTTGTGCCTCTGACTGTACAGAAAAGATGCCAGGGTTTCAGGTGTGTTATTGAATCAGTCAGGAAACAATACCAGGTTTCCTCCATGCCCACTACATGCCCAGCCTGGATCCAACGGGGGGCTTAGCTGACCAAATAACCACTATCTGGACTATTACTGGTCACTGTGGCAGAGGAAAAGGGCTATGGGGGGGTCTCACACTGGCAGTTAAAGACTCCAGCCCAGGTGACACCTGATTCCACTCACAGCTCATTGCCCAAAACAAGCCCCACAGCCCCAGCCAACCACAAGGGGGCTAGGAAGTGCAGCCTCGCTGTACCCTGAGTGAGAGGACACCGCTGATACCTGCTGTGGTTGCATATCCTCGTTCATTCTTTGGAAGTTAGGAAGAGGGGCTGTGAGTAGGTGGATATTCACGTTCCTATTAAACAAGCATCACCTGGTAAAGTACATGGGTTTCAGCAGGGTCTCTGGACTCTATTGGGTGTATCTGACCAGAGGCATTCCTAAAAAGCTGACCCAGAACAGCTTCTCAGGCTAGATCCTACCTGTTGCCTGCAGGTGATGACCAATGGCTGGGAGACAGTGGACATGACACTGCGGCGGAATGGACTTGGGCAGCTGGGCTTCCACGTGAAGTATGACGGGACTGTGGCGGAAGTTGAGGACTATGGATTTGCCTGGCAGGCTGGACTCCGGCAGGGCAGCCGGCTGGTGGAGATTTGCAAGGCAGCTGTGGTCACATTGACCCACGACCAGATGATTGACCTGCTGCGCACCTCCGTCACCGTGAAGGTGGTCATCATTCCCCCTTTTGACGACGGCACACCCCGAAGGTAAGGGCACCCTGCCTGCAAGGTTGGCAGCTCCCAGAGTGCTGAGCTCTCGCTGAAGCTGCTCCCAGAGGCCTCTTCTCAGCGGGGCTGTTGAGCGTGTCTGTGTCAGCTCTTCATGTGTGTGTTGTCCCAGTAGTCCACAGGCATCCTCATGATCCCTGCTTTCTAGATGAATTACAGTGGATTCGCTCACTTTACCAATTAAGTAAGCCCCTACTACATGTACGCTCCATCTGAAATGCTGGGAAGATGACAGTGAGCAAAGTAGTCCAGAGGGAGGCAGGCCATCAATGAGGAGGTAAACAGTGTGGCCTGGAACAGGGCGTGCGAGCTCCTAACAGGGTGCTCCGAGAGGAGTATACGGTCTTCTGGGCCCATGGGTTCCAGATGGAGGGACTGACCAGTACAGAGCCTGGGGTGGAGGAAGCCAAGGGTGGGTGGTTTGAGGCTCCATTAGGAGTTCGGGAAGCCAGTGGGGAAGGTTGGGTTTCATTTCTCTAATAAAAATAGAATGTTTCCAACATCATGAGAGGCTATTGAAGCCCCAAAGTCAACACTTATCAATATGTGGTCACTATTTGGCTTGGTTTTTTTTATCGCTACCATAACCACCTTCTGCGGGAGAAAGATGAGGCTTTCTGCTCCCACAAAGATTTGCAGCCTCGGAAATCCTGTGCAGGGTCGCTATGAGTCGGAACCTACTCTATGGCACAGAACCACCACCGCCACCGTTACCACCACGTTGGATTGTCTGGTCTGAAGCAATCCCAGACAGTGGATTGTATCTCTATATAATAAGGACCTTTCTGCTTTCTTTATTTTAAATTCCTAACTAAGAAGGACCCGAAAAATGTTAGATATAACTAATCCGTTTTTAGCTTCCCCTTCCTCATCCACTTCTTGCCATTTCTCTTGGGCAGTAAACCAGGTCACTTGTCCTTTCAAAGCGGTCACTCCTTGGATTTGGCTAATTACATACCTGTGATGCCCTAAAACCTGTTCCTCTAACCCATGCAGGAAAGGACTTCTAAAGTCTATGGGAGAACAAACAGTACCTTTCCATTCCATCTCTTCACCTACTTTTGAAGCCCTCTCCTACTTCACAAAACTTGCTAATGGAGTACAGAAGCTTGTCCACATCCATCCACCAGGAGATGCCCTGTGTCTGGTCATCTCTGTGAGCGGCACTAAGGGCTGACGGCCTGACCCATCTCTGCCGCGTTCCCCCTTGGTCTTCCACCTCCCAGTTTTAGCAGCCATCCGTGATCCTTGCCCAGATCCGTTACTGCGGTACAGGTCCCAGAGGGGTGATGTTCTCAGCTCTGTGGCTCCCATCTTCATTTATTAGCTGGAATTCTTTGAAAAAGAACTTAGCTTCAGTAAGTATTTTGTTCGCCTGAGGAATAACTTGTACAGGGAAGGCAGGACCAGTGTGGTTTTCAGAACAGTGAGTTGGTACCCTAGCAACTTGCAGAGATGACCAATGAGAGAGAAAGAGAGTGCTTGTGTCATTATATTCCAAGTGCTGGGAACACAGCCACACAGAGGACAGTCACGGCCTTGACCTGCCTGAAGCTAAGGAGACTGTCAGGGAAGATAGATAGTTACCCCGAGTCAACGATAGCATTATCCCAAAGAATCCACGGGGCAGACCACAGAGCTTTGTGGGAAAACCAGGCCCTGAGTAAGATTGGGTAAGTTCAAATCCCAGCTCTTCTTCCCCTTATGCACTGTGGCCCTGGCCAAGTGGCTTTGCGTGTGTCCCAGTTTCTTCATCTGTAAATCCTTTCTTCAAAGGCTGAAGGAGTTAAGACTTGTAAAGCACACAATAGTACTAGGCCCATCGGGGGCACTCTAGAAACAGGAACTATTAGATAGTGGGCGTGGGGAGAGTCAAAGCCTGACCCAGCCTGGCCTGGGACACAGTGATCAGCGAAGGCCCAGGCTGAGGAGGAGCCAGGAGAAAGGCCTTGCAGGTAGAGAGCTGCCCTCCAAGTGGCTCTCAGGTGAGAATGGAGAAGACCCTCAGCTGAGCAAGGGAGCCAAAGAGGGTCTGTGTGATGGGCAGAGGCCAGACCTCACCAACCTGGCACCAGGGCTGGCATGATCCCCATTTTGCTGGTGAGAAACCCGGGGTCTCTTTTGCAAAGTTGTGTGGTTAGTAAGTGGCAAATCCAAGCTCAGACACACCATGACATTTGGCTGCCTCCCCAAGCACCTGGGAGCTCTGGGCCCGTCAGCTCTGACTACTTCACCCCCACCTTCCTGAGTCCTGCTAACGCTGAAACCCCACCACCCTACCCCTCCAGTTTCTTCAGCCTCAGAATTCCTCAAGCTGCACAAGTTCCCTTCTCTCAGCTCTTCTGTGCTACCTCCACTCTGCCCGGAGCCAGGGGCAAGGCGAGCGCTCTGTAACCCCGCAAGGAGGCTCCCCAGTGCTTGGCCAGGTCCCACCCTTTGCCTTGCTCCATACACATCTCACCCCCACGCATGTGCCTGCTTACTTGTTAGATGACTCTCCAAACCCTGGGCAGCGTTAAGAGAGGCCATGAAGGTGCCCCAGCACACAGGCCGGGACCAGCTGAAGGGAAAGTGAGTCTCCAGCCTAGGGAGCCACAGCTAAGGAGGGAGGGGTAGCTGGACAGATGAGTTTCACTCCCAGCTCTGTGTAGGAGAGGCAGCCAGTATAATCCCTCTCCAAGGGCATTGACCATCCAAACAAGATCTCCTTTTGGCAGGGATGGGTAGCCTCCTTCAGATAGCAGCAGCATCAAGCTGCCCTCACTTGCAGAATTGATAGTCCCCACTCTGGGGTCCTTCCAGCCTCTCCCTGCCGCCCTGACCACCTGGTTCAGATGTCACAATAAGCTCTGAGGTGACACACACGGGGAGGAGACTTTCAGCACCAGGAATCACATCTCGATGGCGTGCATTCTGACTCTGTGGTCTTCAGCGTTTAGCCTTGCCCAACATAGAGGCTCAGCCCCGACCACAGGCAGCCAGTCGAGCCCTTGAGTGAGCTCAAGAACCAAAGGCCACACGGTTGGGCCAGGTAGCAGAACTTCAGTAAACCCACAGCCTGCTCTCTGGACAGCAGATTGGAGGTTGAAGGTCCACAAGTGAGTGAATAGAAGAGATGAGAAAGGAGTGAGTCCCTGTGGCCCTCAGGAATCGGGATGAAGGCAGTGTGGGAAGTGGGCTGAGAGCTGGACGCATGCCCAGGTGGCCCGTGGCCTTGGACTACTACTCCCTTGTGGGGGCCAAAAGGGTGGACCAGATTGTCTGAGTGCAGTATTCCAAGCAGGTGGGACTGGCAGATGCACCATCCAGGGAATCAGCTGGAGTGGACAACCACTTTCTGCTTCTTGGGCAACCGACCAGACTCAACCAACACTTACAGAATGCTTACAGCCACCCTTGGAAATGAGGCCCACCCCACCTTTCAGATTAGGAAACTCAGGCTCTGAGAAGGAAGTAACTCATTCAGGGCTGCACAGGTCATACGTGGCAGAGCTGGGATTTGATCCAGCAGACTGCCCTAGGAATCCTGGCTGTCCACCACAAAATCATTAGAATCCTGAAATCCAAAACTTTAAAATAGATCAGAGTGGCTTAGACCCGGCTGCCACATGAAGAGGGATAACCGTTCCCTCTTGGAGATCATGTCCAAGCTCTGGCCTAAGGTAAAGCTGTAACTAACTGGGGGAGCAGTTACTGATCTGAAGCTGCTGTGGGCTGGGGCCTTGCACATGATTGGGTAAGGTCGTGGGCTTAGAAGGCAACTAACTGTGCTTATACTCCATTTACGCCTCTCACTGAATCTGGATCTTAGACAAATTACTTAATTTCTCTGTGCCTCAGTTTACTTCATTCTAAAAATGTGATTGTTTTGAACAGGACTCTGCTTATCAACAACAGAACAGATTCAAAATATGGTGGAACAAAAGAGGGACTTTACTGGCTCATGTATGACAGGAGTAGCAGACAGGGGATGATTGAGGCATGGCCGCATCAGGGACTCAAGACAGCCTCGCCAGGAAGCTTCCTTAAGTCTCCTTTTCTGAACTGGCCTAGTGGGGCCAAAGATGCCTGCTCACTCATGCACACACACACAACTAAACTCAGGTCCCCTCCAGTGAAATAGATATTTCTCCCCAATAAACGCAAAACCAAATCCACTGCCATTGAGTTGGAATCCAAATCGTTGTTGTCAACGTCCCCTCGATTCTGTGCCGACTCATAGCAACCTTGTTAGGGTTTACTAGGAGCAGCTGGTGGGTTTGAACCTCTGACCTTACAGTTAGTAGTCCAGTGCTGATCTTACAGCACCACACCACAACTCCCTGTTCCAACTCATAGCCACCCCGCACAGGGTTTCCAAGGCTGTAAAGCTTTTGTTTTTCAATCCAAGACTTTTTCTTCTATTGAATCTGCACAAAACACTACATTTTTCTAATTAAAAGAAGTAGAAGGAAAAAGCAAAGCAGTGGTGTTAGAAATAAGGTGGGCAATTGCAAAAACACAATTCTCAGAAACCTCAGGTGGTCCCAACGCCTCGTAGCTTGTTCTAATATCTGAAGTCAGTAGCCTCTGTGTAAGAGGCTGTAAATGTCTACGGGAGCAGAAAGTCTCATCTGTCTCCTGCAGAGCTGCTGGTAGGTTTGAACTGCCAACCTTGCTGTTATCAGTCCAGTGCTTATCCTACAGCACCACCAGAAAAAGTTCATGTTGATGCTCTTGGGCTCTGATTGGCCTCGCTTAGGGCACATGATAATCTCTGCACTAATTTTTGTAGCCAGAGGGGGAGGAGTTTCTGATTGGTCAGACCTGGGTCACATGCTCAGACTGGGAGCCTGGAAGTGGAGTCAGCCTCCCCCAGCACACAGGCGTGGTACCCAAGAAGGTAGAAGCTGGGCAGGCAGGGGGCTGAGGGCACCGTCATCCCCCTCTGGCCTCGCTGTGCAGATCAGCAGACTCTGCTAGACATTGTTAGAGTAACCAGGGGCTGACGGTGAGACGTTGGCATCTAACAGCCCCAAGAAGCCGAGTCCAGTTCTCAGAGAACATTGTCAGGTCACCGTCTAATGGGTCTTTAGTAACTGTGGCATCCTGGACCACAGCCCTTGAGCCAGCAACTCCACCAGAGTTTCTTCTGCGTGGTCACGAAAGTTCCCTAGGCTCCCAGGGGCTCCTCAGAGCTCAGCTTCCGTAGCTGCCAGGGGAGGGGGTGTGATTTCACACACAGCTCCCCTCAGGCTCAGAGCCCCCTCTGCCGCAGTGCAGCAGCAGGAGGGGGTACCAGCCAGCCCGTCTGGAGCTAGGAAAACGGCCGTGCATGCATAGCTGGTCTAGGGGGATTCATAGACCACTCCATAGCTATTTCAAGGTTCTGGATTTCATGGGTTTTTTTATTTTTTTATTCACCCTGCAAAGTAGGTCACCTGCTTCTCTTCCTGCTGCCTTTGAGCTTTTCTGGAACAAGGCAAATACTGTCCTTGGAATCTGAGGTGTCTGCTTTTCGAGCCTGAATGCTGCTGTGGGGAGCTGAGCTGCTCGGTGGAGGGCACAGGCAGACATGAAGTCTGGGGCTGGGAGCAGGGAGAGGGAGGGCAAAAAAGATGAGGTAGATTGAGGTAGCCAGTGCTGGGCCTTGTCCTGGTGGAAAACAGGAACTCGTAAGTATCGAATCAATTCCAAGGAGCACCCCTCAGCCTTTAAAACAATGGCGCAGCGCATCAGGTCTCTCCCAGACATCCAGCGCACGTGCACGTACCGGCCTTTCTAACTTCAGTTTTTCTTCACAGGGGGTGGCCTGAGACCTATGACATGAATACCTCAGAGCCCAAGACCGAGCCAGAGAGCATGACCCCTGGGGGCCGGCCCCCCTATCGAAGCAATGCGCCCTGGCAGTGGAGCGGGCCAGCATCTCACAACTCGCTGCCAGCCTCCAAGTGGGCCACCTCAGCCAACCCTGGCCACGCCCAGTCCCTGAGCCGGCCCCCGAAGCAGACTCCCATGGTCCCCTTCCGGGAGTCGCAACCACTGCACAGCAAGAGGTAAGGACATCCACCCTTTCACCCTGTCTCCCTCCAGCCCGCCTCTTTCCCTTCCTGTTTTCTATTCTCTTTTCATACTTCCAGCTTTCTCCTTCCTTCTTATCCTTTACACCTCCCTCTCTCCCGTCTTCCTCTTCCCCTTCCTTCCCTCCCTTAGCTTACAGCAAGGGCCCCGACATCTGATCGAGATAGCATCAGGGGACAGAGACACAGTTGGGGACATGGGTTATTTCTCAGGGAAAGTAGAAGACAAACAGTGAAACCCACATTGTCTTCTATGAGTAGTGTGATGGGTTCACAGAGTTGGGTTTATTATTTGCTGAAAAACTTAAGATATTTTTTTTTCAATATATCATATAATATATTAAAAGATAAAGAGAAGTTTAGAAAGAAAGGACTCTAGCTTGCAGAGGAGTGTCTTGTCCTGGGAGTCGTCGGAAGAAAACTATCTTTGGCAGTGCCAGGCACAGCTGCAAAAACTGAGTGGAGGGACCAGCAGCCACAGAACCAAGAATGAGAAGGACAAGCAGTATCCCAGCTTCCCGCTTGCCTCTGCTTGGCACTCCTCCAGCAGGGGTAGCCAATGGGGTGTGGTTGGGCCTGAGGAAACACTTGTCTGCCCATCCTGTGTGAGCGCTGGGGCTATTCTCTCAGCTCAACCCCTGCCTCATTCCTCCCTTCTGTCTCCTGCTCCAGGCCTGTCAGCTTCCCAGAAACCCCTTACACAGCATCACCAGCAGGGGCCGACAGAGTCCCTCCCTACCGACAGCCTTCTGGAAGCTTCTCCACCCCCAGCTCTGCCACCTACGCAAGATACAAGCCATCACCAGAAAGGTCAGAAACCTGTATTCTATTCCAGTTGGGAGAGCTCATGAAAGTGAAGGACCCTTCTTCCCCAGGAAATGTGCTCCCCCATTTTATGTTGTAGGATATTTGGACTCCTGAAAGCTGTCGGAACTCTTTCCCCTTCATCTCCCCTCCCTCCCCCACCCAGACTGTGTCTCAGGTTAAGATTTAGGGCCAAGCTGGGCTGTGCAGGGGCTCATAATTGGCTTTCTAGCATCAGAATTTCGGTTGGTGTTTTCTTGACCCCTGTATCACATTCAAGGAACTCTGGGTACACTGGCTTAAACATTGGGTTGCTAACCTTAAGGTTAACAAACCCATCAGCTGCTCCTCAGGAGAAATCCGTAAAGATTTACCGCCTTAGAAACCCTAAAGAATAATTCTTTGTTAGGTGCTGTCAAGTCATCTTCGACTCATAGAACATCCTGTGCACGACAGAATGAAACCCTGCCCAGCCCTGCCCCTTCCTCGCAGTTGTTACGTTTGAGCCCAGGCTCCGTGTCAGTCAGTCAGTCTCTTTGAGGGTTGTCCTCTTTTTCACTGACTCTCTGCTTTACAAAGCATAATGTCCCTTTTCCAGGGATTACTCCTTCCTGACAACATGTCCAAATAAATGAAACAGTGTCTTGACATCTTTCTAAGAAGCATTCTGTCCTTCTTTCCAGATGTGTTTGTTCTTCTGGCAATCCATGATACTTTCAACTTTCTTCTCAACACCGTAATTCAGTACATCAGTTCTAATAGAGTCTTCCTTATTCATTGTCCAGCTTTCACCTGCATGTGAGGTGATTAAAAATACCATGGCTGGGATCTGGCATGCCTTAGTCCCCAAAATGCTCTTTAACAATTTCTAGACTTTTTTAGCTTTTGCTTGGGTAAAGGTTTACAGAGCACATCATCAGTTTTACGTTAAATCACCTACTTTGCTTCATTACATGGTTACAATTCCCTCCATGTACCAACAGTTGATAGTATTTACCTCTATTCCCTTTAACTATTGCATTCCTCCCTGTGCCTCCCGCTACCTTCATCATTCCTCTGCTAAACGCCCTCTTGTTGTATATGACCTGCCCTGTCACCCGTGTTAATATGAGTCTACCCTCTAGCCTGTGAATAATTTTTCCCTCTCCCCTCCCTCTCCCAACCATCATAGATTGTTTCGTTTGTCCTTTTGTGATTGACTAACTCTACTCAGCTTGTCCTCCAGGCTCAACCATATTGTGAGGTGTTTCAACCACAACCGTTATTCGAGTCCTGGTATGGTACTGTAGGATAAACATTGGACTGCTAATCACAAGGTTGGTGGTTCAAACCCACCAGCCATTCCTTGGAAACACTATATAGGGTCACTGCAATGTGGTGTTTGAACCACAGTCATTATTCTTCAGCGTTTTGTTTTGTAGTATTCCGTTGTGTCTATGTACCAAAGTTTGTTTAACCATTCTTCTGTTGATGGGCAGTTCAGCTGTCTCCGTCTTTTTTGATGTGTCTCTTGTAGACAGCATGTTGAAGGATCCTGTTTTCCTATTGATTCTGCTCTATGTCTCTTGCCTAATGCATTTAATACATTTACTACATTCAGTGTCAGTATCGATAGGTATTAATTGATTCTTGTCTTTTTTTCTTGCCTCTTTTGTACTGGCCCTCCACTTTGGAATCCTTCAATATTGCAACCCAAGGCTTGAAGTTTTTGTTCAGTTCTTTCAGCTTCAGAAATGCTGCGAGTGTTCTTCCCTGTTGGTTTTCTAATGCCAGATCTTTGCATATTTCATTGTAATACTTGACTTTGTCTTCTGGACCTGCCCTTTGAAATGTTCTGTTCAGTTCTTTTACTTCATTGAATCTATTTGCTTTACTCTATGTTCAAGAGTTTCAGAGTCTTTTCTGACACTCGTTTTGGTCTTTTCTTTTTTTCTTGTCTTCTAATGACCTTTTGCTTTCTTCATGTGTGATATTCTTGATGTCACCCCACAACTCCTCAGATCTTCTTCAGTCATTGGTGTTCAAGGCGTCAAATCTATTGTTGAGATTGTCTCTAGATCTGGGTGGGATGTGCCCCCAAGGTCATATTTTGGCTCTCGTGGACTTGTTTTAATTTTCTTCAGCTCCAACCTGAACTTGCATATGAGCAACTGATGGTCTGTTCCACAGTTGAACCCTGTCCTTGTTTTGGCTGATGATGTTGCGTTTCTCCCTACAGATATGGTCAGTTTGATTCCTGGGTATTCCATCTGGTGAGGTCCTATAGGTTTCCTGTGAGGGAGAATCATCTCAGTGGCACTGGGTTTGGTATAACACTTGAGCAAGATGATCTGCCAGCCAACACAGCCATTCCTCTAAATCTCCAGCCCTGGTCCCAGAAGACGAGACCACCAGCATCACCCAGTTTTTATGGTCTCAGGCTTCAGCCCTGCCCTCATGGATCCTTCCCACCACAATCAACCTGGCAGTCCAAAGGATTGCCCTCTAGCCCTGCATGGCTCTCCAGTGCCCTCAGGATAAACCCAAGCTGTGCAGGCTGACTACTGTAGAATCCAGCCCAATGAGCTTTCTATCCAGTGTTTTAAACCATCCCTCCTGCCAGGTTCCTCTGTCAGAACAACCCATCAGTCCCCTGGCCCTAGGCAGAGCTGAAGAAAGCTTGATCCCGAAACCTTCCTTTCTCTCTTTCTCCCTGTGGTCCATCCACTCATTCTTCAGAGCAGCTCTCCCACTCCAGCCTGCTCCCACCTCCCTGGACTCCCAGTTTTTAGTCCCACCTCCTTTCCACTGAGCAGCCAGAGGCATCTTTCTCTTTCTGGCCACGTCTGCCCCTTGCCCCAAGCCACCCATGACTCCTGAGTCTTCAGGACACAGCGTCCAGCCCTCACAGTGGCTGACACGGCCCTGCCTATCTCTGCATCGTTCTACAGTGCCACATGTTGGCCACTCTGATCCTTGCCCACTTCCTTCTCACTCCCACCCTCACCCTGTCACCTGGAGCTCCAGTGCTGCTCCTCCATGAAGCCACCCCTGACACTGCCTCCAGCAACTGCCCCACAATGCATTTCCTGAGTTGCCTGGAGCACTTGTGGCCTCGATAAGCTTGTGTGTGTGTGTGTGTGTGTGTGCGTGTGCGTGTGTGTGTATGAGTTTACTCCCCCATCAGGATCTTTCCAGTGTGTTTCTGACAGAGTTGGGCACACGTTAGTTAGACAGTACATATTTGATGTGTAAGGGAAAGGATGGAGTGAGTATGCTGAAGGCCAGTCCACTCATCAAGTGGTTCTCTGCCTTTGATGGGCGCCAGAATAAACAACTGGGCCTCATCCCTGGAGTCAGACTTAGGCTTGAGGGAGACTGAGCTAAGACAGTGCCACTGCTCCCGGGAGCACACTGCATGAGCTGCTGCTCTAAACCACTGTGTGCATCTAAGTCTGTTGTACAAACCAGGAAAACATGCCCACTCCCTCAGGTTTATAATGGCCTTAGAGTTCAGCTGCCATTCAGCAGAGAGCCCCAGGAACCTGCTATGTACCAGGTGCTGCGAGAGATGGTGGAGTAGAGAGTCCTGTGGAGGGAGCATCTTAGAAACCTTTATAGACTCCAAAGCTGGAGGAGGGGGCCAGAGCAGCAGCCAGCCCAGAGGGAACACCCGAATAGGTCCAGAGAGCTTTAGGGAGGGCTTACTGATGGACTCAATCCACGCAGAGCAAGGGCCACAGACAGGAGTGAGCAGGATGGCAGGGGAGAAGGAGGCCCGGTGTGCACAGGATAGAGGGGATGGGGCACCAGGCACAGCCAGAGCTGAGGCTGGAAGTGGCAGGCGGCACCCAGTGATCAGATAGCAGATGTGACGGGCTGAGGTTACTGGTAACCCTTGGGAACTTTCTTTTTCCAGAGTCTTGGTGTACCCTCTTTTCCTTTTTTTTTTTTTTAAATAGTTTTAAATTCATAGGAAACCAAACTGAATTCCTAGCCATTGAGTCTGTTCCAAGTCAGAGTTGGATCCTGTTGGTCTGTAACTCCTCACCGAAACAGACCGCCATATCTCTCTCACAGAGCAACTGGTGGAGTTGAATTGTCAGCCTTATCATTAGCAGCCAGGCACTTACCCACTGTGCAACCAGGGCTCCTTGATTCATAAACCCACTGCATCAAGTCGATTCTGACCACAGAGAACAGAGTAGCACTGTACCCTAGGGTTTCTGGGGCTATAAATCTGTATGGGAACCGACTGACTGCCTCTTCTTTCTGCACTGGAGTCACTGGTGAGTTTGAACCAGCAATCCTTTGGTTATCCATTCAATACTTAATCCACTGTGCCACCAGGACTCCTTCCTTGATTTGTAGAAAGTTGTAAAGAAAGTCATAAGGAAGTCCCGTTTACCCTTCTCCAAGCCCACCCAGTTCAGCATAGCTATAGGATAGCATCACTCCAAGAAATTGACATTGGTTTATTCAGATTTCATCAATTATACGTGCACACATTTGTGTATGTGTAGTTGGTGGTGGTGGTGTGTCATGGAATTGGTTCCAATTCATTGCAACCCTGCATAGGGTTTCCGAGGTTATAAACCTTTATGGGAGCAGAAAGCCTTACTTTTCTCCCGGGGAACAGCTGATACTTTGGAACTGCTGACCTTGAGGTTCACAGCCCTACCCGTAACCACTATGCAAGAACAAATGCCGTAAGAATGTATCCCATTCCAATTGTTTATGACTGTTTGCAGCTGTTTCTGCCCATTTTGAGTCCTACCACGTAATTAAGTGACGGTTCCAAAAGCTTACTCCATCTGTGTATCATTAAGGTCAACTCTGCTTTGAAGAGGCAATTCTTCCCGAGTCATCATTTGCGTGCCTTCCCACCTGAGCCGCTCCCCCTCTGGCACTCTGGCTGGCAGTAGTCTTACGGTTTCACAGACCAGGGTTTCAGAAGTAGATCTCCGGGCCTTCCTTCCGAATCTGCCAATTCCGAGGGCAGCCACCATAGTGCTGAGATTTGGAAACACCAGCGGCGTAGCTTCCAGGATCACAGCCACAGAGTGACAGATGAGTGGTGGCATGAAGCATTGAGATTTAGGTCCAGGGGTGGGATGACTAGGGCTGCCAAACATTGTAGCTCAGGGACGTCCCTAGCAGCCTGGTTCCATTCATGATTCCTTAGGGGCTCCATAAGCCCAAGCAAAACCAGTGCTCACTGCCCTGCAGGAGACGAAGGAAGAGCATGTTTTCGTTTCTCAGAGTGAGAAAAGTTTCCCCAGAACTGGGTCATCTGCCCAACCCTGAACCACTCTTTAGCCAGGCTGCTCTTCACTAGTTATCTCATAGAGTGTTCTGATTGACACCAGTCACGTGGCAGAGGACTGACCACCAGAGGAGTCTGACTTTACCAGCAGGAACAAGGAAGATGGCTGTTAGGAGGTAGTTAACAATGGCTACATCTTCAGCTCACCCTTTGACCCAGTCATCCTGTCTTTCACCTACCCATCACCCAATCAATCAGGTCAAGCCCTCCTCTAGGTGTTAACATCTGCTCATCTTGCCCACATGAACGTCTGTCTTGTACTCTCCTCTGTGGCTGATACCGCAGCAGCCAGATCCTGCTAAGTGAAGGCACCTCCACCATGGTCCCTCCAACTTCTGCTTAGAGACTCCCACTTTGGGACACACTAGTTCTTCACCCTGTCTGACTTCCTGCCCCTCCCTACAGGTATACGACCGCCCCACACCCACTGCTATCGTTTGATCCCCACTTCACTCACGATGGGACGTCCAGCGGCGACTCCTCCTCAGGTGGTCTGACCAGCCAGGAGAGCACTATGGAGCGTCAGAAGCCAGGTAGGGCCTGCCTCTGCCTTCACAGCTTGACAAGTGACATACTCCTTCCTTCCTGTAAGTGACAAGGAGACCACCACAGACGGCGATAAGAGCCATGTGCAGGGTTAGAGAGGGCACCCAGGGAACACTGGGAAATAATCTTGTCCAGCCAGACCAGGCATCAGCAATGGTGTCTGGAACAGAGAAGTCAAGAGCAGTAGACAGATGCACAGCCTGGAAGTCATAACCTCCTCCAGGAAGATGGTTGGAAGGAGCAAGAGTGCTGCTGCTGGAAAGGGAGCAGAACTAAGTGTGTGCCGTGGTTTCTCTGTAAACCCTCCTGTGGGTCAGCCGTTCAAACCCCACCAGGTGCTCCGTGGAAGAAGGATGAGGCTGTCTGCTCCCTTAAAGATTTAGTGTCTTAGAAACCATACATAGAGTCACTGTGAGTTGTTAACAACTTGCTGGCAGTGGGTTTAGTCTTGTTTTTCGGTAGATGGTGGTGGTGGTGGTGGTGTTTCTATAACTTTCAAGGACATATAACTGAGGATTGTGCAGCTTGATAGCCTATCCCAAAATGAACACAGTGATATCATGTCACCACACCCAGAGCAAGGAACGGCCCGTGACAAAACCCCCACAGCTCTCCCTACAGACCCCCAAATCAGTACTCCCAAAGGCCACCCCTGGCCTGCTGTCTCTATCATAGGGTGTGGTGTGTGTGGGTGTGGGTGTGTGTGTCTGTGTCTGGCTTCTGTTGGCTCAGTATTGTGTCTGTGAGAGGCATCCATGTACAGCCCATTAGCTGTATTTCATTGTGTGGACGGGCCACAATGTAGTACTTCATTCTCATGTCTATGGACATTTCACGGAGTCATGCTGCTAGGAACATTCTGGTCTGTGTCTTCTGAAAAACACACGCACACATTTTTTAGGCTACGTACCTAGGAGTGGAATTGCTGCACCATGCAGTAAGGTATGTTTGACTTTATAAGAAGGCGCACAACTCTTTTCCAAAGTGGTTTTCTCCGTTGGCAGTCCCACCAGCAGTGGATGAGAGTACTTTTGTATGCTCAGTCCTCTCCACCCATGTGAGTGGGTGAACAGTGCTGCGTCTTGTTAAGTGCCATCCAGTTGGTTTCAACTCATCATGACTCTCTGCAGGGTTTCCCAGGAGCAGCTGCTGGCTTTGAACCGCCAGCCTTGCGGTTCACAGTCCAGTGCTCACCCCATCAGGACAGTGGTAGTGTGGTAGTGTCCTGATTTTAATTTGCATTGCCCTGATGTCTGGTAAGCCTTAAGCATCTTTGTATATGTTTGTCCTCCTACGTGTATTTGTTAATCATATGTATGTACTACTTAGATGAGGGTTTTTTGTTGTTGTTGTTTTTAAAACATAATCTCATGTAACAACAGTGTAACCCCTTTGAAGTCTGGGAACCATCAGATGAATGGGTGAGTGGGTGGGTGAGTTCAAAAGAAAGAAAAAACATTAAGTGTTAGGAAGCATTGGCCTTGGAGAGGGTGAAGAAACGAGGGGCCGTCTTAAGAGCCTTTGAGGATTTCCAGGCAACAAGGGCAGTGACCAGGAGCACGATGGTGTTAAATGTTGGGTTCTAACAGCAGGGTCGGCAGTTTGAACCCACCCGCCCCTCCACAAAAAGACTTACAGTCTGGGAAACCCTAAGGAGCAGTGAGCTTTGTCCAAGAGGGTCACTATGAGTTTGGTTGAGGGGATGTTCCTGTGAGCACGTGACCCAGCTCCTTTGTCCTCCAAAGCAGGAGAGGTCATGACCCTCGGGCCCTGTTGAGCTGGGAAGAGCCCAGAATTAGTAGCAGAGTGTTCCTCAGCAGCCCGGTCAGTCCCACAGTTCCTGGCACCCCTAGGAAATGGCTGGACTTTAGCCAAGCTGGCCACACCCATGATCCACAGGACTGCAGACAGTTTGCTCCGCTCCTCAGTCTGGTCCACGCTGCCGATGAGTACTTGCAGCTCTAGGAGCTTTGCTCCGAGACACATTTGGATACTCTTCCTTTTTTCTTTTTCCCACTCTAGTTCAGAAAAAGACAAAAGTGTTGCTTGGTGATTTCATTGTACTAGAGTACAAAGTGGGAAAGAAATGTTCCCAGCACTCACCTTGGGCACTAAATAAGGTGTCGCAGAAACTCAGCCTTGTCCTAACCTCCTCTCTCCTGTGCCCTAGAACTCAGTTCCTTCTCATTTCCTGGGGACCTTACTAGGAGTTACTAACCCTCTCCCCACACACATACACACATGCAGCCCTCATCAGCTGATGATCAGTGTGAGGTTAGTCTGACAGCAGTAGCAACAGTGGGCTTGTTACATGTACTGAACCAGGCACTCTGTCAGCATCGCAGAAATAGGCCACGTGGGCGAGCCACATGATTCCTCTCTAGGAGGAAGATGAGGCACAGAAAGATTTAGTCACCTGACCAATGTTAAAGTCTCTACTGGCGAGCGGCACAATTGGAATTTGGGCCTTAACCCCCACCATCTATAGACCCTGAGCTACCAGAGTCTCGGTATGTCCCACAGCCGCATCCACATCTGTGACCTGCCCAGATGTCAAGGGTCAGGCAGCAGAACCAGAAGGTCATTGAGGTCAATCCAGAGGACCAGTGAAGGGCCCAGGCAGAAGGATTGGGGCCTCCAACTGTAGAACCAGGGCAGAAGGGACCTGTGGAACCCAAGAGAGAAGGCATCTGGCTCTTCACCCATCCTTTCTTTCAGCACGTTGTTAATGGCCCATCCCAGGCTGAGTGCAGGGATAGTGTAAGCCAGTGGACAGTCCACTGAAAGAGGTAGATGATAAAGAAGGACACAGCAATGACACAATGACGACCAGTAATGTTTAGTATTAAATGGCACTAACACAGTGACAGACCTGGTGTGGCACTGTGGGTTAATGCACTGGACTGCAAGGTCGGTTTAAACTGCAAGGTCAGTGGTTCAGGCTCCCCAGCCACTCCTTAGCAACCCTATACAGGATTGCTGTGAGTTGGAACTGACTCAACAGCACTTAACAACAACTACACAGTGACAACTGAAGACCAGAGGAGTTGTGGGATAACATCATGATCATCATACACAAAGACAGCAAAGGTCATTAAAAAGATCAGAAAGAAAGAAAAGGTCAAAGTGGATGTCAGTAGAGACTCTGAAACTTCCTTTAGTGCATAGAGAAGCTAACATGACTGGAAGAAATGATGAAATGAAAGAGCTAAGTAGAAACATTTAAATGGCAGCTCAAGAAGACAAAGCAAAAATTATAATTAAATGTGAAATTAATTTTGGAAAGCCAAAAGGGAAGAACATTTCAAGCTGAAAGAACTGAAGAAAAATTCAAGCCTCAACTTGCAATATTGAAGGGATTCTAAGGGCAAAATATTGAACAATGCAGGAAACATCAAAAGAAATTGGAAGGAGAGAGACGGGGCTTGATGGCGGCTAGGGTGGAGGTGCAGTGAAGTTCGCCGTCAACAGTACCACAGAATACCAGGCAAAGCAGACCTAGGGAAGAACTCCAAAACTCGGAACCACAGAGATAGGACTATTTTTAAAAGTTTGAAGGCTTATAGATTGTGGAACTTGAAGCTGAAGTAAGAAAATGCCTACTTTTGAATCTGGGAGCTGACATCTTGGGTGAGACCAAATGGCAAGACCCAGCAGGGGAGCAGACACACCATGGAAAAATGCCTCGGGAACCTTGGAGCAAAGGTGGACAATGCACTTGGTCGGTTTTGTTTTGTTCTGATTTTTTTTCTTTTTTTTTATCTGGTCATTGGCATCTCCCCCACCACCGCTATTTGCGCACCTCCATTCTGGCGACTAGAGGGGGTGCCTGAGCAAGTGGACACCCCCCACCCTCACCACTGGTGGGTTCTTCTGCCATGCATGCGGATAGATACTCAGCCCAAGAGCAGTCCCTGAACGTTTTTTTGTTTGTTTGTTTGTTTTAATAAACGGGAAAGACCAGGACAGGGCTGTAGAGAGGGAAGAAGAGTTTAAAAACAAAAGAGGCCAAAAATTAAATTAAAGCCTGAAGTATAGCATAACAACCAACAGTGACATCTTGAAATCTCTCAGGCAGCTTGGAAAGCAAGAAGCTGAAGAGAGGACATTAAAGCCATACTCATATTAGGCTACA